CTGCGTTTGTAAGATACGCAGGGTGAACGTTAAGGTGCGTGCCTTGCACATTGTCCATTCGTTTTGATCCCCAACACCACACATACAGGGGTCGCTCCTGAGCACAGAGCCAGGAATAAACCCTCCGCAGTACTGGGTGTGCCCAACACACACCCCCTCCCCAGATTAACAAGGATTAGTTGGATCAGGGGGCAGGCTCAAAGGTCTGGGGTGAATGCCTCCTGGGCAGAAAACCCGAGTTCAGTCCCCAGCCCCGCATGGGGCTACTAGCCCTGGTGGCTCTGGGCACCGCCCGTCTGGCCACTGATCTTCAGGCCCCAAGAGCAGCCAGGTATTTCTGGTGTGGACCCAGGAGCCTGTCTAGATAGGCCCCTCCCCATCCCAAGAAAGGTACTGTCGCTTACTTCCTCCTTCCTCATCTGGCCCCTCTGACCCTGCCACACCATGGCCAGCCTCCCAGAACCTGTTGACAGTCCATTTGAGTCCTGTGCACCCGTCACTTTTAGGCCCCGCCCTGGAATTTGATCTATCACAATACATCTTTGAGTTATTGCAGCTCTAGCGTTTTGACACAATACATTATGGTAATCCCTGGCACATAGAGACATTAACACTCCCGACTTTGACAAAATACATGTGAAGTCTTTGAAGGCACCATTACAATTTATCTTGTCACTCACGAGGAGGCCCACTTCAGCTTTAATGTAGATGAACACAGTGTGGCTTTTGTTTCATTTAATTGCTTGTGACCTTTTTAATTGCTAATTTAACACAATGGCAAAGGGTTATATTTCAATTAAATTAGCAGTTTGGGGAGTATTTTTTTTTCCTAATAATGTTTATTTTTAAGACATTCTGGCTCTGCTTTTCACCTTGAGTAGATAAAAATGTCTTCTCTTAACAGAAGTGGGAAATGAGTGTGACACTGATCGTAGGGGAAATCACTTGAGTATGCTGGTAATGCGGTACTAAGCATCATCCGTGTGAGGTTGGGTTTGACCCTTCCGGAAGGATGAAAGCACGAAAGCACTGAGTTGAGCCTGCACAGCCCCAGAACTTTGCACATCTGAAGAATCCCATCCGGTCAAATACTCTGGTTTGCCGTTAGAGAAAGAACTTGTTGCGGGCATCATTTGCAGGCCATGTCTGTGCTGTCTGTCTGTCTGTCTCTCTCTCTCTCTCTCTCTCCCTCTCCCTCTCCCTCCTCTCTCTCCTCCCTCACCCCTCTCTTCTCTCCCTTGCTCACTTGCTCCCCCCCTCCCTCCCTCCCCACTTTGTGTTCTGTAGCAAGTTTGTCAGGAGCTCTGCTGCATTCTCACTGCTGAGTGTCCCCTCCCTGTTGGGCTGGTGGGGACAGTAGTCACAGGGTGCAGTGCACACTTGAGTGCTCTGTGGACCCAACCGGCAGCATCATTCCTCATCCCACTCTGAGAAATGGCTCTCCGGCTCCAGAAGCTGTTCCCGCCCCGCACACACCCTCCTGGGGCCAGCCCAGGAATGTTCCTTCCGCCTCCGCCCCTAAGGTGCTCTTGCCTCACACTCATCCAAGCCAGCACACACCAGGTCAGCTGGGGCCAGAATGCACCCGAGTATCAGGCTGACTCAAATCCTCCAAGGGGATATGAATTTACACCGTCAGAGAGTAGAAGGTCAATGCAAGACGCATTAGTGTGGGGAGCCAGCTCCAGCTATATAAGTCTCCAGCAAAATTAATATAAGGAAATTGACAAGCCTTGCTGGTTATTCCATAGCTTTAAGACCTCGACTAAAATCCTATCATCTCATCTGCCCATTATTAACATTTCAGCAAAATATAAAGTTTTCATTAATCTCCCACAGCAAATTTAGGAGTGAAAACTGGCACTTGTTTGAGCTTTTAGGACTACATTAGCTGGTGTATTAAACAAAATATGTCATTCTTCAGTAGCTTCTGGAAGAAGCTAAATCAATTTCCAGCCATATTTATGTACCACTTTATCTAAAAGCATCTGAATTATCATTTACAGCTGAGATGCTTTATTAGCAGCTGGCATTGAAATTGCTCAGTAAAAAAAATTATATGTCACGTTATAGTAATTTTTAAATTGGTTTTAATCCAACATCATAAAATGTAAAAGTCTTAAGTGTGGATTTTTTTTCTTTCAGTAATTGGCATTTTAGCATAATGAGCTGTTACCTCTTTATGAGATCAAATACCTGCAATATTTGGAAAATAGTCATTAGTAAAGAAAACAGAAGTGGATAGCTATTGTACTGAATGGCCTTTTCTCAGCAAAGATAGCTTTCAAAAATTTTTAAAACTTGAAAGGACTTTAGTATTTTGCCAAAGTTCCCCACAATTCTCATGTGTGGGAGAGTTTCTGAAATGAGATCAACAGCCTAGCAGCTCTATTTTGGTAGAAAGTGTATCGGGAAAAGGAAAGGATAATTAGAACTCTGTATTCTCGGTCGTTACCCAGGAGACAGGGGGGTCCGGATGGTGGCCTTTCTGCCCATAGTCAGACTTTGCTGAGCAAGGGATGAGTGTTCCCGGGGGCCCTTCCAGACAGTGTGGGCCGCTCTACAGCTTCCCGGCATTATGCTGCTGAGTACATCTCTCGGCCTCTCTGATCCCCACCTTCCTGCATGTGGCATCTGGTTTCTGCCCAGGTCCTGATTGGCGCCTGCTGTGTCCTGAGTGTGTTATGGGGGTGGGGGGCAGCTCCTGAGAGGAGGAAACCCGTCTCGCCATCACGATGATCAGATTCCCATGGGGCCTGAACCAGCTCTACTAGACTAGGGCGTCTTAGCATCAGGGAGGGATTCCCTGGGATGTCCCTTGAGCTCCTGACACTCCAGGGAATGGCAGGGAGGGGCTGAAGGGGGAGAAGGCTGACCCGGTAGAGAGATCAGAAGTTGCAGACCCTCAGGTAACCCAGGGATGGGACTTGAGGTCCCAAAGCCACAGATTTTTCATCCATATGATATAGAAGATCGTATCCATATTCACTGGAGGGCCCTTTGGAGTATGGGGAAGCATTGCTGTAGGTGAACACACACACACACACACACTCACACACACACACACACGTTGAATAGGAGGATTTGGAAATTAAATAAAATAAGGCATTCTTAATGGTAACTTAAACGTGAAATGACCAGAAACCAACTTGGACTTCAGCGCTTACCCTGCATGGGAGATGGAGGCTGAGCGGGTGCTCGGCTGTCACAAAGTGGAATTCTCATGCTCCTTGATGTGGTTGGGAGTCACAGTCACGTGCAAAGCAAGTTCCCTACCCACTGTACTATTTCTCCAGCCCCAGGAATTTTTATGTTTTTTTCTTCTCTTGAGTTTTCAGCTCCAGCTCTACCCCCAGATATTCTCTCTGGGTTTCCCTGGGTTCATCTGAGGCCCAGAGTACCTTACTGTGACTGGCCTCTTCTGGACAAGGGCGCCCCTTTCCTGGTGGTGGCCACCAGCAGCCACACCTCCTCTTGACAGTGTAGCGCTGTGCAGTGTGACCCAAAGCCACAGGTTTTTCATCCATACAATGCAGATCATACGTTCTTCTGAGTCAGCGTGAGACTTAAATGCCTTTTAAAGTGCTTAGCATCGTGTCTGATGTGTAGTGATCCCTCACATATGCTCGCATTTACAATATACTTATTTAGCAGAATTTAGCCGGCCAGTTGCCTGTTACTGCTGGCCGGAGAAGCTAGAGAGATATATTTATCAAATTTATTTATCAATTACATATTTATAATTTATCAAGTTTCCCGACAATCACAAAAGTTCCAGATGAGGATAGAGCAACCCCTTAGCAATTTCAGAGCAGGGCTGAATGGGCTCCACTAAGACTTTTTGGGTTTTTGTTTTGTTTGGGGAGTAGGGGGGTGCATATCTGGTGGTACTGTGGACCACTCCCAGCTCGGGGGTCACTCCTGAGTGCTCAGGAGACCCAGATTACCAGAGATTGAACTTGAGCCTCCTACATGCAAAGAATGTACTTGGGCCCTTTGCACTCTTTCTCAACCACCCCCCAAAAAGGGTGGGGGCACTAGGAGAGCAAGTCATTTGCTCAGGGACACAGTTCGCGTTAGGGGTGGAGCAGGGCTTTGAGCCCGGGACTGCCTACTCCGATACTGCCTGTAAACCGACCGCCATGGCCTTCGGAGCGAGAAGCTAGCCTGGGTGTGCTGGGACAGTCCAGGCCAGGGAGGAAGGCGTGGTCGAGGCCCAGCCGAGGGGCTCCTGGACCTGTGTGTAGCCAGAGACATAGGGAAAAGTGGAGTGAAGGTTTGAGAGAGAAGCACCAAGTAGCACTGAACACGCTGCTTCTCCGACTGGCATGCTCCTGGCTTAGCCGACCAGGGAGCCTCCTGGGCGAGGCCGCGGAGCTGGGGAAGCCCTTGTGGGCTCCAGTCTTGCTACTTGCTCCTCAAATCACGTCTCAGAGGACTCCACAGAGCTCTCGGCAGACATTTGCGAGTGAACGGATGATCAAAGTTTGAGAAAGAGGATCCCCAAAGCCCGTTGGTCTGCCTGCAGGACATGGCCACCAAGCCCAGCACAGCGCCTGGCAGGGAACTTCCATGCTTGCAGCGTGAGAGTTGTGGCTGAGGACGGTGGTTCTTTAAAGCGCTCAAACGACTTTGCTGATTGGGAAAATCATCCAAAAATGAAACTAGAAGTGTGACCACCTGTGATTTTTTGTGCTTTTTGATTCACTCCTGTAAAGCCCAAGAGCTTTTGGCATGCACGAGTTTTTCCCTTTTCCTCTCCCGACTGCCCAGCCAAGGGCCTGCCATAGGAAGGGCAGTGTTTGTGGAATTAATTGTGGAATGATGAATATGTTACCATTCTCTGTTTACTGGAATGGCATTATTAAGTCATCGCTCAGCCTTTTCTTCTCCAAATTAAATAGCCCATATTATTTTAATTTATCCCAAAGCATTTTAAGCAGACACCATTTGCCAAGCCTCATGTATCTTTATGTGTTAAACTGCTTCTTCCTCCCCAGGTTCAAGGGCAGACGGGGTTTTCGAGGAGGATTCGCAGATTGACATCGCCACCGTGCAGGATATGCTCAGCAGCCACCACTACAAGTCCTTCAAAGTCAGCATGATTCACAGACTCCGCTTCACCACCGACGTCCAGTTAGGTGAGTGCCGGGGCGGAGGGCAGACCGGGCAGGAACGGGGGAAGGAGCAACGAACAACTTCCGTGAGGTCCAAGTCAACCAGCGCCAGTTCCTTCCCTGCGAACATGCTGAACCGTGAAGGCTGAAGCACTCCCTTCCCCCCATACCCAGCGCTCTCCCCTGCCCCCTGCCATCTTCTTTTGAAGCAGAAGATTAGAAATAGAAGTGACTTGAGACTCCCTTCAAACTGATTGACTTCTGTAAAGTCCCTCAGTTGTTCCGCTGCTTGCTATCCCTAGGATTGCCTTACGACACTGCCACTTGCCTTTTCCTGCCTGCTCAGTGCCTTCGCTGCTGACTCATTCCTGCTTGTATCCAGGAAGGTGTAAAACCCTTAAGCAGACGTTGGCCCAGGGACTGTCCGGGTGACAGGCTCTGCTGCTTCTAGTGGGTCCACTTTGAAGAAGGCCCATAAAGAGCCTGTCTTAGCTCAGAACGTCTCCACCATCCCAGGAGGGGAGTCTCCGGATAAGCAGTCAGACATGCCTTGTCTCCGTCTTCCCCTAGGGGACAGGCAGCGTCTGGGGACAGTCACCAACTTACCCCTCTCTTTTTGCAAAAACCAAAACAATAAACTTAGATGGTCAGGGCGTCCCCTGGGTAATCTCCCAGAGGCTCTGGGACGACCTGCAAGCAGCCGTCAGGGCAGGCTCGCATCCGAGCAGGTGCCTGCCAGAGGCCTCTGTCGCGGCCCTTTCTGCTTAGTTCTGGTCGTGTGTGAAATGAATGTCAGCTTTGCCGATCAGCGGTGTGTGAGAGGCCCTGACTATAGGAGCCGCGTTCTGAATGGAGCCCTCCTGCTGCTCTCACCATTGGCATTATCACGTCCCTGGCCTTTGTGTACACTCTGGCCCACCATCTTGAAAATAGCTAACCAGCCCCTTCCGATGAGACAATGGCCCTGGTGGCCAGTCTTACTTGGAGCCACAGTGGAGTCTGGAAGGGGCAGTTGGTGTGTCTCTCCCGAGAGCACTTGTCCTCAGAGGTGCCTCCCAGTCAGCTCAGGCCACTGCAGGGGGACACTCATGGCGCCCTCTGGTGGAGAGTCAGAGTTCCGAGGCGCTTCACTGGTGGGTCAGAATATGGGTTACCACTATGGGTCTAGCAGTGTCTGTACGGAGAGGCAGGAGTTATTTGTCCTGAGGAGTCTTTGTGACAACCAGAGAAACTGTGCCCTTAAATACCACATCAGATGAGCCCCTTCCAGCCACTGAGTTCAGGGGCATTAACTCAAGGCCCTCTCTCCTTCCTGGATTCTTCCAGAACCCTTTGATTCTAGCAACAACAGAAAACTGAACCTGCAGGGTGGAGAAAGCACTCCCGAATCAGAATCTGCCGCTGAGGGCAAGGCAGCCCAACAGCATGCCTGTCCTGAGCGTTCAAGTGAGCAGCTGGGTTCTGAGATCAGTAAATAATTTATTTTATTTCAACTGACTAGCCAGGTGCTTCAGATCTTTCCTGACACTGATGGATGGGCTCCTCCGCTCCTCCATCCTGTGTCGGTCAGAGCAGAGATTTCACTTGCCCCCCTGTGGCAGGTCCTTCCAAGTGGTGAGTGTCCGTGTGTGGCATTTACCCAGCAGCCTGGCTGATTCCACACAAGCCTCAAGGCCGCTCGGAGGCTGTGGTGCGTGAGAGCACGCCGCCAAGGTGGGACAGCCATCGCTGCTGCGTGGCTCTGCAGAACAGTGGCCCCTGCTCCCCTGTCTCCATCTGCCACTATGTCTGAGAGAGCCAGGACAAGACGCTACACTCAGGCTGTAAGACCCCGTTGTAAAGCGCTTCCCCACCGGACTTCTCCATCATTGGAACACTTCCTTGGAGTCTATTAATGAAACCTGTGGCGAAGATCCAATCTTTATAAGTGATAGTCATGAAAATTAGAATTTTTAAAAGCAGTTAGCATTTATCGAGTGCTTTCCGGGTTCCAGTACTTGGCCAATCGCTCTTCTGCTCCACAGTCCCCTATGGTCCCGACCCTGTCATCAACGTGCTGGGAGCTTATCTCCGGTTCCCTGTGATGGATGGGGTTGAGGGAGGGGCATCTAGTATGTGAGGAAGCCGGGATGGGAACCTCAGGCTGAGAGCAAGTCTCCTGGCTGAGCGCTATATTATGCTTTGAATGCAAATGATCACTCTTTCGCTAATGATTCCTAGTAGACCATGAACTTTGACCCCTTCCCATCACCTTGCTCCATCCACATAGTGTCTTGATGTTGCTGCCCTCATTTTGTGACTGAGAAGGTATACTTGGAGGGGTTAATGAAATAACGATGTGTCTATAATCCAAAGCAAGAACTCTCTTTCCCTGCCCCTTCAACCATCAGAATATATCCTGGGCTGCCCAATCACATGGCAGAACAAAACTCAAAGCCCATCCACGGCCACACTTGCCTCAGTCTTTAGTAATTTGCCTTTACAAAGGAAATTATTCTGTCTCATTGGCCAGATTTAAGAATTCTGCAGATCCCTCATACTTCTCCCTAATCCAGTATGACTCTTATCCCATCAGGACGCTTACCAAAGCAGGTCCTCTGCTTACCATCCTGTATTTCTCACGGACCCTCCTGAAAACATCCAGCTTGTCTGCTTTTCTTCTGTTGACCTAAAGTATAGACGTTTCCTGATGCCCCATAAGCAGACCTTACTTGGCTGCACCCCACGCTGAGGTTTATCCCCACTAACCTGATCTCTGTGTTCCTGACCACAGAGCATGCATCAGATGGGGGTACTACTTGTACGTGCCAGGGCTGACAGTGGAAAAGGTTTGGATGAGACCAAAACCAAAGGGGGCAGGCGCTGAATGCCAGCAGCGATTCAGGAATCCCGTAGTTCACTCTCCATCAGTTTCTGTGATTTTGCAGAAGCTAAATTACCTTGTGCCAGTCTGGGAGCTGCCACAAGTCAGGAAGGAAGCAACATTCCCACGGTGTGTGTGTGTGTGTGTGTGTGTGTGTGTGTGTGTGTGTGTATGTCACCTTCCCACAGTGGCTCTGACACTCTCAGTCACCACGACCCTCAACTCATCCCAGACTCGCTAGCTCCAGTTCTGTTCTTGATTGCACATTTGGAAAGTACAACCTCACCATAGGCAAAGGACTGACTATCTTAGTGCCCTTGATCTCTTTGTCCCACATTGTTTTCCTAAATTAGGTGGGTCAGCCTCCTCTTCCCACCGGTGTCAGGCAGAGAAGTGTTGTGGTAATTGTGCCACTGGTGCTACCTTGATGCCTTCACCTTATTATTTGCCAACATCAACTGTCCCATGTCACTGAAGGGACGTACTGAATCCATAACAGGCCAGGAACCTCATCTGTGTGAAAATTGCAGATGTAACCTAATTCTGTATAAGACAGATGCCGTGCCAGATTTACAGGTAAAGACTGGATTATATAATAACCTCTACCAAAAGGATTCATGGTTCCCCCCTCCATTATTTCTTTATAAAATGATCCGGATGTATAACCATAACATTTCTGACTATAATCGGTACTTACCAAAAGTATCAAGTACAGTAGGACATATTACAAGGTAAAAAGGCTTCATCTCATAGAACGCCTCCAATCAGCTTGGTAATGTCTGCACAGAGAGTTATGCTGAGGCAGCATCTTGAACCGCGTCTCCAGGCAGCGTAAGGAAACTCTGTGATTGATTAAAAATGCCTGCCCTGGGCCTGAGCATGATGAGAGGCAGGGTAATTGCCATCTATTGTCTTTCCTGGTTTATCTGTCCTGTTGCGGCTATTATTCAACCCCCTCATCAATACCTACAAGCCAACACTCAAGGAAGACTTTATTCCAATGTGATTTCTTAATATGCAATATGCAAACTTAAGAAACACATCAACAACACAAGACGAAGTGAGTGAAAGCCAGCAGCTGCAGCCCGGGCTATTCCTCCTTGGCCCGTTCCGAGACTCAGAGTAGTTCTGTGTGACTGTAAGCATCAAATATTTGCTCCTGTTCTTTCCTGGGGGGTGACCTATGGAGCAAAGGCTGTGTGGTTCTATAACCTGGAAACACATGTTTTTCAGAAATAGATGTCTTTTTCTTTTGCTTTTCCATTTCACTTCCTTACTGTATTTTCTTTATGTTAATGATCACAAGGAGATATGTATCACACTTCCCTCCTAAATCCCTAGGTCCATTGAGTGATTTCAGAATGCAATTCTCACATTAAATAATTGTTCTGATTGTGATTACATTTTCTGAACCAAAATTTGGAAGAGAATTTAGTGATGGTTAATGAGCTCATGACATATCAGGACAAATATTATCATGACAGACTCCAAAAATTCCTTTATTAAAATAGGGTTTAATGCAGTGATTACGTGGGGAAATCCCCTGACGACAAGGATTGCACACAAAAAAAAACCCAGGGGCTTTTTTTGAGCTATACTCTCCTTAATTCCCTTCTCCTAGATCACTCCTTTGAGAATTTTTGTGGAATAATCCAAGATTTCTAGTGACAATTTTTCAGGCTCTTTAAATGTCCAACAAAGAATTGAGACGTGAAAAGCATTGAGAGAGGGCTGAAGTGACAATACAGCAGATGGAACACTTGCCGTTTGCACGGCCAACCCAGGTTTGTCCAGTCCCCCCACGCTCAGCCAGGAGTGATCCCTGAGCACAGAGCCAGGAGTAAGTACCGCCCAGAAACCAAGAGACAAACATTGAGAGGCTCCATCATAGTGGAATTCATGGAACAGGCTTTGTGGAGGAGCCTGGCACGATTCCGTCTTCCTTGCGTCACTTCCTCCTCCGTGGCGCTGGAGCTCTGCAACAGTCTGTCTGGGTCTGAACACAGGGGCAGTCTGCTTCGGCAAGTGACGTCATCGGCCGTCTTAGAAACTGATGTTCCTTGGTTAGACCTGCGCCTTAGTGGCTGAGCACTTACCTTGCTTGTGCAAGGCTTGGGTTCGATCCCCAGTGCCTCCCAGAGAAAGTAAAGAAAGGAAGTGC